AGAGAGAGAGAGAGAGAGAGAGAGACTTTTGAGTACAAGGAGACTTGTGAGAAGACATTTAGAGTTGTTAGACATCCGGGATCTCTGTTGCATGTCTCTGTCATTAACAAAAGCAGCAGGAGTTGGTGGAGGTTGTGGAGCTTTGTCATCTTGTGCATGCTGAGCAGGACCCAGTGATGAGAGAGCCTCAACAACAACAGTGAGACCCTCAACACTCATGCTTCCTCTCTCTCTTCCACGTCTACCTGTGAGTTACTGCTCTCTTCTGGATTACTGCTTTTCCTTTTCCATGCTGAAGGCGCCGGTGGAGGATTGAACCTGCAAGGATCAACTTCTCCAACCAACTTTTTATTTTATTTTAATTTAAGCTGGTTTAATTCATCACCTCATCTGTATGAGATTTTCTTCAGTTGGAATAATGCTTTGGTGCTGGAGTAGAAACTCCTGGTTTCCAGTGGTGCTGGGTGCTGCATTAGTTGTGCTCACTGCAGGAAATGCTGGACCGGACCAGGACAGAAGGCAGGCTGGGTCGTCCTCGTGCTTTGGAGGCTTCGATCTCTACTTTGTTTTGGACAAGTGAGTAGTCTGACACACATGATCTGACACAGTTAGATGGGATGGATTAAGAGGATGTTAAAATATAAAAACCTGGGTTTAATAAGAGCAATTCATTATTTCTTTATCTGGAAATTTGTCCCCCTGCAGTGACTGAACCTGAATTGAATATTCCATCAACCTGTATCTGCTGATTGCCTTAAAAACTATTCATTCTTATGAGAGCCCATTAATGCACAAAGTAAATATATCAGTACATATGCGTCACTTTATGTTGGTCTCCTGCTTCTTTCAGTGATAGTTATTGTCTCTGCAAAACCTTTTCATGATTTCATCACCTTTTCTGTTATCATCACACCCTCTGGGTTCATGTTTTGCAGGAAGGTGCCAAAAGCTTTGATCTAGATTTCAGCATGGTTATATGTCCACTGGGGGTATGTGTGTGGTGGTCTGCTGCACAGATTATATACACTGTTACTGGTTGCTGTGTTTGGGGTTGCTCCTCTTTAAAAAAAGATGTCACCATGTGGCTTGTTTTTATTCAGAATGCATGCATTTCTTAATCATTGGCTCCTCATCTTCTCTAACTTTTAGTCTGTGTATCTGAAGAACACCGGATGTTTGGCCTGCCTGTTTAGTCATTTGGATACTTTGATTTAGAAACTGTCCATGTTTATCCAACCTGGTTTTTGGTGATTCCTGTTTCCTTTCAGCCATGCAACATGGGCACCCGATCAAAGCTGCCACAGTTTACCAATTACATGATCACATTGATAACATTTCAGATGAGATTGGATGAGTTTCCGTTAGGGTTGATTTGGAGCATAATGCACAATGCATGTTTAAGGAAAACTTTAATTTCCATGCTCCATGCTCTAAACAGGAAGCAAGCAATCTCATTAGTCAAGTCAGTTGAGTGAAAACAGTTGAACAGTTTCCAAAATATCGTCTGTCTGACATGAACAGTGTTTACCTGAATTTACTTGACAGGGACTTTAAGGGGAAGCAATAATGTCAGCTAATATATGCATTGCCTCCTTGGCACTGACAATTAACTTACCCAGACTGTTGCTTTTGGATCGTAACAGAATACTTACCTTATGACATTCAATTTTTTTTGTGAGAGTGGTTCGTCATGAGCCAAAATATCTTGCCAACTAGGTCATAAGCAAATTTATCATCCAACTCCAGATTTCTTTATCTAGAGGATGGACTTGGTTGTATTTCAGTTTGCATTTCACTCTCTCCTTGTGGCTCCTCTGTTTATAGTCCCCCCCCCAATGACGCTGATGGATTTTCCAGTTGTCCTACAGTACACGTCAGTGCCAACTCCAGGCACTCTGCTGTTGCTCTGAGGGGAAATAAGGCAATTGTGTGTAACACAGAGTGATTGTTAGGGAGAACCTTGTTTTAACGACACAGATTTATTTTGCATGTGTGACCTGACCACATTTACCGTTGAAGAAAAAAATTTACACTTATTAGCTGTTCCTTTTTTAAATTATTTCTGCAGGCTGGAACTTAGCTTGCTTTTGAACAGTGATGTCCTCCACCTGCACTCACTGTCCTCCCGGTATTGGCCTGACCTCTCTTCTCCATGTCTGTGCTGCCCTTACTCCATTAGGTCCAGATGTTCCAGTGTTTCAGTCTGTTGGCCTGACTGTTGTGTCATGGTAACAATGGAAAAATAGGTTTTTAAAGAAATGTTTCAGGAGGATTTGGCAATTGAAAGACATTTTCAAAAGCCTCAATACAAATACACAATACAATATCCTCTAATTTTGATATTTATAATTATATAATTAGATGAAAGGAAATATATCTATGCTTAAAAGCTACTCCGACTAAATCTCTTTATTTTTACTTCCTTACAACAACAGAGTAGAGAGGACTTTGTGGACGTTGTCAGGAAGTCCAATAAAAACATCACAGGGGAAAATGTGAGTCCCAACAGCTCTGCTTTGAGTTCATTAACAAAGAGGAGGTAGTGAGCAAGATGATCAACATCCACACTGACCTGGTTGCATGAAACCCGGTCAGAGGATATATTCATCTGACTCCAATGATAATAATTCACAAAATTAATATGAATAGAGTTGCAGGTGCATTATAAAGATGTTAACAGTAATCTGAGGAGTGCGACGTAATTGTTACTTCTCAGAATCAACCAGCTGTGCTGCATGAGCTTTTACTCATGCAGAACTATTCTGCAGGTTTTTCTCCTCCCTTCAGAGGCAGTGTCTGTTTTATGGGTGGATCACTGACTGGTCAGGGGACAACACAGAACAACCAGAATGGGATACAAAATTATAACAAAGAGATGCTAAAGTAGAGTAACAAAATGAGAACAATGATACAATTATAGATTGTATATAAAAGGTGGACACTGCATCTCCACTTCCTCCCATTGGACAAAACTTAAGCTCAAATAAATGGTGTAACGGGTGTGCCACAGGTCCTATTGTCTCAAAAACAGTCGAGGGTCTGTTGTTAATTTGACAGAGGTCATTAGATGTACAAGTGTTTGAAAAGATCCTCACATTAAATTTGGCTTTTCTCTTCTCTATCAGATCTGGGAGTGTGCAGAACCACTGGACAGAAATCTACCACTTTGTCGAACATCTAGCTCATAAATTCATAAGGTAAAAAAACCCCTGGTTGTGTCAAAAAGCAACTGTGGGAAAGGATACAACAAGAACTGATTATTGGTTTAACAGAGTGTATTCCTCTCTTCTCCTTGCCCCCAGTCCACAGTTGCGGATGTCCTTCATCGTGTTTTCCACTGACGGACAGATTTTAATGAGCCTGACAGAAGACAGGTGGGTGCAGATCCCCTCAAAATTAATTTCAATCCTTTACTTCTCTGTCGTCCATCTAAAAGGAATGAGCGTAATACCAGATTTGGACAGAGGTCACACACAGATAGGATTCCTCTGCGTTTTTTTTATGATCAAGAGATTCCAGACAGATACTTTCCCTCGCTGTGATGTGATGATGGTGTCGCTGGTCTGGACGGCTCCTTCATCACATGGTTTTTGACACATTGTGGGCAGCTTATAAATCTAATCTTTCCTCAGCAAAGTGTCTCAAAAGCCACAAAATCTTTTCACTGCTTCCCTCACATCTTATTCAAACTAAGGACTCATTTCCTGTCTATCTGCATGACAGTTTCTCAAGCCAATACACACCAAGGCTGTTTCAATTTATTCATCTGTTACACATTGCTAGTATTTCCTTCAAATTGCTGCCCTCATGGAAACTGTTATTCGCTTACCCCCCCCTTGCAGAGTCTAGTTTCAGTCAGAAGTATGTTCTCAAAATAATCTCACAAAATAAACATTTTCCATTAGATTATATATTATCAGAAATGTGGATTAGCTCGTGTTCCATGTGTCTGCTCAGGGAACGCATTCGCAAAGGTCTGGAGGAGCTGCAGGGGGTCCTTCCAGGGGGAGACACCTTCATGCATGAGGGCATCTTGAGGGTGAGCGGCCGTTTCACTCAGAGCTTTATCTTCACAATATCTCCAGACCTATAACACCACCCAGGCCTGAGCACCGAATGACTGTTTCATTAACTTCATGCCAGATGAATAGTCCACTGTTTCATTCCGGGTCATCTTTTTCACAGGCCAGTGAGCAGATATACTATGGAAACACTGAAGGTAACATCTTTTCATCCTGCTATTTTTTTTAGGACAATTATATTTTTTAATTACATGTGATGTTTCAGTTACTCACAGCTCATAGAAATACACCCAGTGTTCAATATAATAGGTACACCTATAACATCTAATCCAATACAGCAGCCCTGCAAATTCTATCTTTACAAAAAATAATAATGTCCTACTGAATAAATGTATAAATGAATTTGTATGTTGGGGTGGTAGTTAAAGTGTGCTTTCCTGCATTGTATTACATAGAAAATAACTTCAACTCACTACATTAAAGCAGATGTGTATTTTTGTTTATGGAGTGAAACTGTGGAATGCTAGCAATGATTTAAAATGTTGGTCAAAGATGATTCAATTAAAAAACAAATTATATAAGGACATTATTACTATTATCATCACTTATTTGTGATTCTGAATAAAAGAAAGGAAATCAGGAAAAAGAGGACCATTATGTTATTCGTATGAAAGGGGGCAGGTCATTTTGAATGTGTGTAAGTGTATTGTTTGGTTTTTGGATTACACTGAAATGAACAAAATAAATGTACATACATTTTAATATACATTTTATAATGTCACAAACAAACGTGCATAATAGCACAGAATGAGTATTTATTTCTAAGGGGGAGTTCTGGTGTGTTTTTCTGGGATAATAAATAATTGTGTGATACAAATCACAATGAACTAGGCCGTGAGAGATTCAGGGAGCCTTTATAATGCTGCCTGGTTATTTGCAAAGCATGATAAGAGGATATGTTATGAGAGCAGCATTGATCAAATTCTTTCTGTGTGCAGGTTATCGCACTGCAAGCGTTGTCATAGCTCTGACAGATGGAGAGCTGCACGAGGATCTTTTCTATTACGCTGAGAGAGAGGTGAGAGAGCTACAGAGAGGTTAAATGGGTCATACAAATTAGAACCAGGTGGAATACATGACTGTGCACGTGACGGACCACATCAAACACTGCCAACCTAATGTATACATCAGCACTTTGATCCTCCTCCTCCAGTCTGGAAAAACGGGGTCAAAACACAAGATTTATAAGTGCGAGCACAGTCATCCTCCGCACATATGCACTGGGATCTAATGATTTATTTGCACATCAGATCATCCAGACAGGAGAAGGCTTTAGAAAACCTGAGAATAGCTTTGAGTGCCCTCACAAGGAGGTTTTCACTGCAGCCTGAAATGCTGTGAGACGCCTTATTGTCATTCAGAGTCAACACCAAAACTCGCAGAAAAGAATTATTTAGCTGGTCTGTCCTGCTTTTGGTTTTCAGGCATCTGTGTGACATTTCTATTCCACATTACATCTAAATAATATTTTACAGCCAGAACATGGTGTTATGCAACTTCTTATAAAATCTTTTTAGAGGTCACATTCACACAAGTTTATTTTCACCATGTTTTGGACGATGTTGTGAAAGGCAGAGGTGTAATTGAACCCAGGTGTTGAGCTTCTTCCTGTTTTTGCTGTGAATCTGTGTGTGTATCTGACAGGCCAACCGTTCCCGAAGTCTGGGGGCCTCAGTTTACTGCGTGGGGGTGAAGGACTTCAATGAGACGCAGGTGTGTTGATGTTAAAAGTATTTGTACCTTAAATGTATTGATTGAGGAATCAATATGGATAACAAGAGGATCCATTTTTCAAGTAGCTGTTAATTGCTTTAGAATATTGTATTGTTTTATATCAGTTTAAACTGTTTATATAAGTTAGGTCAGACTGCCAACTCTGTTCCTAGAAAACGAAAGTTTGTGTAAGGACGTGAAATATATTACAAATGTCACTGAAGCTTCTATCCAAGTAATTTTGGCCTGATCATTGCAGAGTCATTCTACTTTGTGTCAAAATTGTTTTAGTTTATTTTCTATTAAAAAGTAAATTGTTTCATTTTGTTAATAACGTCCATATGTCCTACCCCATAATGAAATATCCTGCCGCTGATTCTGCTTCTGATCAGACAATTTCTGAGAAGTTACAGAAACTAGAATGACTGAAATACAAACGTCTTGGGTGAAGAATTGTAAGTGTGACGTGTGAATGTAATGACTTGTTTCCTCTGTAGCTGGCAAAGATTGCTGATAGTAAGGACCATGTCTTCCCTGTAAATGATGGATTTGAGGCTCTGCAAGGGGTCATTGATTCGGTAAGCATTTAACTTCTGCTCACAAACATGTTCAAATAACATCAACTGTAATCAGGACTGATAAACAGCCGATTATAAGAGTCTGTATTCATTTCTCCTTTAACACACTCACTGATAGAATAGCTCGCAGCAAACAAGACTAAATAGGTTTAAAGCATGATAACTTATTCTATCCATGGAGCCTGTCCAGGAACAGAATTCCAGGAAAACCTGCTTTGACTGTGTGACTTTGCTTTTGATCAACATGACTTGCATTGGACCAAACATGATCAGAACATGTGCTGTACCTCTTCAGACCAAACTCAGTTGTGTTTACTTACACTTTTGTCGCTTGAAAAAAAAAAAACTGTTTGTCAAGCGGGAGTAGTTGTAACTGGGATGCAATGTTTGTTGAGAGGAGTTAAAGGTCAGACAGCTGACTGAGCTGATGGTCACCTGGAGCAGATTAACTTAGTTTATGAGTGAGACTGTGAGACATGAATCTGTCCTCTTCTCAGAATTATAGTGGGTTTGTTCCTAGAGAGCATTAAGTATAGACACATCTGCAGAAACTTCAAACCAATAGCCCGCTGTGGAAAAAGGTTTGTGAATATTCCCATTAAAGACCCAGAACTGTGTAAAACCAGTCACTGTTAAGAGGAGCATACCCACTGCTATACAAAAGACATGGACACTAAACTGAATACCAGGATCAAAATATTATCCTCACATTGTAATAAAGCTGTAAGCAGAGATGCACAAGCAGAACAAATGTTTGAGTATTAAAGGACAACACAAAGCCAGAGGCCTGCTGCTGCTCTGATGAGCTCTGTGAATTCCTTCTCTTTGTCTCCTCAGATCCTGAAGAAGTCCTGTATTGAGATCCTGGCTGCAGAGCCCTCTAGCATCTGTGCAGGAGGTAAGAGATTTTCTTCACCCTCATTCTCCATAGGATGCTCAATAATGTAATCTTCAGTAACTCCTCATAAGAATCACAAACAGGCTGTAATGTCAGGTCGTATTTAACAAATACAGACACAGTGTCTTGACAGTCCAAAGCATAGACTGTAAATAAAGATGGTCGACATGATAGCCAAAAGTGAAGCCAAAGCGTTTTGATTGGTGGTTGGCTGAAGCATAGGTCCTAAACCCGGCCTCCTTCATGCTAGCAGTGTAAATCAAAGTACACATCCAATAAATGTTTTTTAAAGATGGTTCTGTCATTTTTGTTAGTTCTTATCACACTTGTGTTTGTTCAAGTGTATATTTTTCCAGTAAGTTTGGTTTTAATTAGCGACTTGATGTTGGAAAAATAAGTGAAACATCAAAATTGACAGCTAAGACTCACTCTCAATTGGTCGACCGCATCTTCATTTCTGGATAGTAGGAGGACATTGAGATGTGTCGTCCATCTGTATTTACCATCCATAGTCCACAATGATTTAACCCAGACTGTGTCAATATCAGCTTCAGCACTTCGAAACAAATTATATACTTGTTTTCCAGTGTCAGTTTGCCATGTGCTGGGTTTGTGGTTTTGGTCCCAGAGAAACTGCTGCGTCATACCACGCATCAACTATTTAAAGTATTTCCAACAACAAAATATCTTTGTTTCCTAACAAATTCAAGTCAGTAATTATATTGACAAGGAAATTATAGTAGTTGAGTGAGTGTTCCATATTGGATAATGCGGAGTTTGGGTAATTCTTTGGACCAAAAAGTATTAAAAAAACACAACCTTATTATCAGTTGTTTCTTCTCCTCACCCAGAGACCTTCCAGGTGGTGGTGAGAGGAAATGGATTCCTCCATGCCCGAAATGTTGATAAAGTACTGTGCAGCTTCCGAATCAACGACACCCTCACCAAAAGTGAGTGAATACCATCTAACTCAAACCAGTTCATTAGCAATAAAAGCAGCTGGAATACACGTAATCAGAATTACGCATAATTGAGCGTCTTGCTCGTCAAACACGAAGTGAGCCACTCAGCTGGAGTCCTCTTTGATCCAGCAAGGAGCTATTCTGGTGTTATTGGTATCATGGCTTTTTTTTCTTTAAACAACAAACTGCAATTTTACAACCTGGAAAACCGCCAGATAAGGAACCACACACGAGGCAGGATGAAGGAAAAGGCCTCAAGGATACAGACAGTTTCCCCACAATGCTTACTAGTGGCTCACTGTAATAGTTGTTAAAACCACTTCCTCCAGTGCACACTGCAGTAGCTGCAGGAGGTGCTGGTTAAATTTCAAAGCAAGTTATTCACCAGACTCGAGGCACTAACCCACAGTCTGCTCCTCTGATGAATAGGCATGTTTCTTTTTCAACCTTATGTTAGTGCTTCCTCTTTTCTCAGGGATTCAAATTTGGAATTCAGTACTTAATCATCTTTAACTTTGTATCTGTTCATTACTTCTTTCAACTCTGCATTGTTTCTCTCCATTTGGTTTATTTAGATGTTGCATGATGGTTAATATGTGATTTCTTGTGTTTTTTTAGCCTAATCCATGCATATGCAGACTATACAGTAAAGTATATTTATGAATGATAAGTAGATGATTGAAAATGCAGTATTATTTACCCAGAGACCATTCGCTTTAACAATGGGTAATTTGGTTCTGCCATCAACTTTCAACAAAGGCATCTTGCTCTCTAAATCAAATTCTATACAAACAAATAAAAAATATATTTTCAGAATTCATCAAACTTAAACAACCCCCGTGAATGATTCTTATTTCTGCATGATACATCAAACAACTTTCTGGACATGGAAACAATTTAAGTAAAATGATCTCCATTATACTTATTCATCCATGTCTCCAAATTGTTTACACACAATTCTCAATTGTTTAGTTCACATCAGGGATAAACTTTAAATGAATAAATAAATAGGCCATGGTTAGCTCGGCTGCAGATAAACATGGGATAGATAATCTATCAGAAAAGGCTACATCTTTACTTGCCCTTGTTGACTCGCTGCAGCCCTTAGCATACTTTGCAAATATGGTGAAAAGAAAAGAAAGACAGCAGCAGCAATATGTAACTAACATGTGCCGAGCAGATGAATTGATGTTTGAATATGTTTTGCCAGGAAAGAATAGCAGAAAATACAGTGAGGCGTGCTAGGATTTGGCAGGTCCTGTTCTGAACAGTCCATTGTTTTGTTGCAGTGGACAACACTGAACAATGTAAATAAGGAGAAAGACATAAAGGAATTCTGGCAATGTACTTTCTCAGTTTGTTACCAATAATTCTCTAATGTCTATATGAAGTTCCTGCTAGCAGCTGGTTAGCTTAATTTAGCTTAGCACAAAGACATTAAGTATGGGGAAACTTGCCTTTGATGAGTTTATAAAACCCATGATAGTCCCTGAAAGTCTGACTAATTGACATGTTGCATTGTGTTGGTTTAATCTATTAAAAAAAAAACAGGGTATGTAACCAACAGTGGTTCTACTTGCTGGAATTTTTAACAATTGCCTGGAAACATCACAGTGGCAGCAAGAGTCCCTGGAGTCACTAAAGCTGTTTTCAGACATGCACAGATCTCTGCAGATACTGTTTTTTTTTTTCCTGGAGGAGGTGCATGTGTGAACGCAAATGTCAGAGTGAGAGGCTCTGCAGTTTCTGCAGACATACTCCCCCTGTTCCTCAAGTGTAAAGTCTGTAGAAATTCAGGAGAATTTGATGGTGGTTGCCTCCCACCAATAAACCGAACAAAGAGAATTTATTGCGAGAACACAGCAAGGGATTCATTACGAGCGAGTTGATATCGCTTCTAATGATGCAAAAATGGAAAAACAAACAAACAATTAGAAAACAAATACCTCTATGCTAAGCTAGCTAGCAAGCATAGTATTTCACATTACACACATGAGATATTGATCTTCTCATCTAACTCTCCGCAAATAAGCTTTTAAGTGTATTTCATAAAATAAAATGTTAATAAACTGTTTCTCTTGACTCTATGCTGATTTGAGCTTACCAACAATATGTCCCAGCTTTTGGTCTTTCTAATGATTAATGCCAGCTTTAGAAATGATTTAAAGTTGAACTCTGCAGGGCACTTATCTGCACCTCCCAGTCAAACCTAGCAACTAGCAACCTACCAAGTAACCTACCAACACTTTGGGAACAAACAGTGTGAAACATGATGACAGTCTAGCGATTCCATCTTTCTACTCAGTGGAAATCTGAAGACTGTTGGAATGTTAGACTTTGCTGTAGTTTTTTTCATTCTTTTTCATATTGTTTTAATGGTGTAAGGCCATTCTGAGTGTGAGGTGGTTGCATATTTATATTTGTACCCCCCCCACCACTGTGCTGCATGGTGTTTCTAGGGAAGACCAATCCTGACCTACTGTGCGACTGCGCGTATTGATTTCCTCACTCCTGGGGTATGCTCTCCCCTTGCCAGGATAAACAGACAGGCCTGGTGAGACGACGCTCGTTGGAGCCACTTTCTTAAAAAGCCAACTGGACAAGGAGAGAACCTACATTTTGCCTGAAAAACAAAAGCTGTGGTGAAAGCTTGTAGCTTGTAGTTATGACTCTGAGGGGAATACAGATGTCCTCGCTCAGCAGACAACAAAGCACAGTTTTGAAGAAACTCTCTTCTCAAACACTTTTTTATTTGAGCGAAGGACATAGGCTCCGTTCTTTAATTGAATTAAAATGAAGTAATGTGGCATTAATCAGTCAGGAGAGAGATCTTTCTGTAATCAGGCTAAATAATGATATAATCTGAAAGGTGACTCGGGTCATGACTTGCTGGTAAAACTCCTGCTTTGCAAGCTTTGTATGTCAGTGACTATACCACTGACCATGACCACAAGACAAGACTGGAATACTTGGCTGATTCTTGTGCTGGTTTTTATGATTCCTTTCCCTCGTCTGCTCTAGTGGTGAAGCCTTTGATTGTGGAAGACACATATCTTCTCTGCCCTGCACCAGTGCTTCAAGATGAGGGGATGTAAGTCCTAGATTTTATTAAAAAGAATGAGAGGTTTTATACGACACCATCTGCTCTGTTTTTAAAGACACCACGCAAATGACAGCTGGAACATTCTTCTTTTTCAGGGCAGCAAATCTTTACGTCAGTATGAACGAGGGTCTCAGTTTCATCTCCAGCTCCGTCACAATAACCACTGTGGGATGTGTGAGTACAATTCTCTGTACTAGCATTTAGCTTTGAAACTGTAATATTATGAGGTCATGGTACATTGCATAACACTAATGATAGAAAACACACAAATAAAACCAATCAAAACATCCATACATACAGACAATGGGCCTTGCACATATCTCAGCTGCCATTGGGCAAGGGCCAGGGTAAGTGAAAACAGTGAATTACAATTTGGTAAACACTTGTTTAAATGATGGATGCAAATTGTTTGAGGTTTTTCAGCACAAACAGTCATTGTCTTTGGTGTAACAAGCTTTGAAATGGCTTCATAAGATCAAAAGAACCACTTTCCTACATGAAGCATTGAGCCCGGAGAAGTGGTTTACATGGATTTAGTGCTCTACTTATTCAGACTGTGGGAGTTGACGTGTCTGTCTCTGTTACAGTCTGATGGGACCATCCTGGCCATCGCCCTGCTCATCCTGATGCTGCTCCTGGTCTTGGCTCTTCTCTGGTGGTTCTGGCCTCTTTGCTGCACTGTGGTGAGTTTTCTCAAACACTAATGCAAAAATAAGATGCACACATGCTGCTTTACAGATGGCTACTGGTCTAACTAGCTTCTTCAAACCTTCGATGGTCTGAAACAGACCTGGAAGGCAGCAATGTTGCTTGTGGACAATGCAACAGGCAGAAATGTCTTTTCCAGGTCTGTCCTCACTGGCTAACGCCCCCCCAAGGCATCTTACTAACCTTAACAACACTCCCATGGTGAGAAGGTTAGTCATGAGTCAACAAGGGCATCTGGCTCCTTTGAATCCCTGCAGCTGAACTTAGTCCAGAGGAGGAGGTCAAGGCCACTGGGTGAATGTGTGTTGAAGTAATTATTCTGCTGTTTAAACAATCTGTGTTTCTAAAGGTCACAGCAGGTGACCTCTGAGTCTCACGTCTCAATACAGCCTCAGTATATACACTGGAAGACTTAGTCAATTCTTCCACCAGTAATAGCTCTAAGTTTCCAACGAGTGACGTGGAAACAAAAACCCACATAGGCTGAATGTTTTGGGTTCATATCATTGTTACTATGTGGGTGTTTAGAAGCAAGCTAGCTCTCCAGAAATAAAGTTTTATGAAAAATATTTGTATGGCAATCATCTGCTCTGTATACAGTAACAAGAGGAAATTAAAAAAAAAACACTGTCCTGTGGTCAAACTGCCAACATCACTATATCTCAACAAACTCTCTTGTTACTCATGTTACTTTCTGTCAAAATCTGTAATTCTCCTTTCGAATTAAAAGAGGGGTGTCTCTTCAAAATCCAGTCCAATGTTTCCAGAGCTGGAAACAGCAAAGAGCTGAGAGGTGCCAGAGAAAGATGTCAGCTTTTACAACATGGCCTTCCCTCCCTTTACTTTATTTTTCTGTTCTTGTCCATTCCGTTGCAAACTCAAGTCTGTGCAAGCAGGTCTGTTTAGGAAAAGCAGTGCAAGGTTACCACGGGGAATTGTTTCGTGTTCCAGGATTTGGAGCCACGTGGAGGAAAATCACAAATAAGAATCAGGATTCCTTAATTTGCTTAGTGCAATAAGTGTAGTAGAAACTGTGTTGGAAAAAAATATGGTAACTTATGTACAGGCGAAAGAGAACAAGTAGATGGTAAAAGACAGACTAAACTCTACATGCTAAAATAATACATTCTGTCTGTATGCAATCCATCAATGCTGCTGCTGTATGACACGCTCTGAAAATGGAAGTAAATGGATAACTTAAAACCTCATACATAGGATAAACAAAAAGTATAAATCCTCTATACAGAAAATAAGAGCAGTGTTTATGAGCCTGTTACTCCTCTTTTCTCCTAATCAACAACCTCAAGCCAAAAAATCTGGATCGCACATTTCTAGGTCAGTGTTATTAGTGTTAAAAAAATAACCAATTCCTCAGCCATGTGTTGTGTAACCATCGTGTTGCACACAGAGAAGACTTTGCTTTAACACACAGATGATACATGAGTGTGTGAGTTTTGTCATCTTCTTATGTGTAACACGTTCCTTCTTTCTCCTCTCATGCGTGTTTGTGTGTTTTTCCACCCACAGATCATCCACGAACCCCCACCTCCACTTGAAGAGGAGAGTTCGGTGAGAGCTGCTCTGTCTCCACTTGATCTCTTTCTTATGACTCAAAAAGAAAGAAAAACAACTCATCATTTAATATTCAGACAGCTGCAAATGTTTGGTTTGTGTAATTGCTGAGTTTACTCTGACAATTCAAACCTCATTAACCATGCTGCGTCATTCATTCACTCCCTGACCTGAAACTGCGATTTCACTCATTTAGCAGTTCATCATTTGTGATGTGAGTTAACGCCCTCGTAGAATAACAATGAAACCCAGACTTTAACTGTTCTTTTCTGCCACCGTTATGTCTATATTTTTTTATTCATGATTTCTGGAGCTGTTCAGACCTTTGTGGAATAATGTAAAATTTAACCAATATCCTTATTTCATATGATTTGGTTTGATGACCAAATCCATATAAATAAGGTACAGTATTTGCTCCATTTAAACTGACAAGTAGGTTTAACTGGAGAATTTGTAGCAAAACCAGACTCCAGTGGCAGCCTCGGCCTCAAAGACAACTTTCAGAATTCATTATGGTTTCCTGTGTAAGACATCCTAGTAGACTATGAATCTTAGAGGGTGTATTAAAGAGCTGTAATATAACAAACCTTGCCCAGTGGGCTTTGTAATTTCCTCTGTCAGAGGGGACAGAAATGAGGACAGGGGTTTGAGTTTGGAGGGCAGACAGATAATTTTACTTCAAATGAGCCGCATTGTCACAAATGAGAAGGCATCTACCATCAGGAGTTAGCTCCGAGGTGATTATTGGGTGTGTACATTAACCATAAAAGCTTGTTAGCTGTAGGTGGTAAGCCTTTTAGATGATATATTGCAATAAAACTTATGTCCTGCCCCTGTCCCATAGGATGATGAGGACTTTGATACACCCAAGAAGAAGTGGCCGACTGTGGATGCTTCCTACTACGGAGGAAGAGGTGTAGGTGGAATCAAAAGAATGGAGGTGAGATCTGATGACTTAATTAGAAAGAATGAACCTTAAAAGTAAACTGCTGGGATCATGAGGGCTGCTCTAAAAGGCATCTCTAATTATGGAGCACAGCAGCAGCTCTCAATTTAACTGCACTTATGCTGAACCATCTTTGAAACATTAAATGTAGTCTGTACTATTGTCATAATTTCCTCTCTATCATCAGGTACGCTGGGGGGAGAAAGGCTCCACAGAAGAAGGAGCGAAGCTGGAAAAGGCTAAAAATGCCAAAGTGAAGATGCCCGAGCAGGAGTACGATCTGCCCCCCACACGGATTCTCAACAATGGCATGCAGAGAGCCCCAGGGCCACGCAAGTGGTACTCGCCAATCAAGGTACAGGAGTGAGTAGCTACAGGAGGAAACAGTCTGGGCAGTATTAGCTCTGACAACAAATAAGAATGGCAAACATAGAAGTTATGAGTTTCATGTGTACAACATGCAAAACATTTGTGAGACATAAAGCTCAGCTTATGTTTAATTTATATAAGCATTTACAATTCTGCTGAGACAAATGTTCTTTTTTCAGCTGTTAGCATGTGTCTGCCTACTGTAAAAATACATCTGTTGCAAATTACTCCATGTTAACCTGGCTGTGGATATACAATTAATGGCATTATTAAAATGTTGTTGAAAGTAGCATTAGATGTGTTAGGTAATAACGTTAGGTGACTATTGGCACACAGGCCCTTCCTCCAGGGCCAGCACGGGGTTAAAGGAGTTGTTCCGAAGCCTTCCCAGTCAGCGGGGGGATCGCTAATAGAAACCAGACTCCTGTTGGCCTGACCTCCAGGGAGCAGTGCTGCACAGCCAGCACTTTTGTTTAGTGAGGAAAAACAGCTGCATTTTCTGCCCTTATCCTCAAAGTATTTGCTGTGTTCAAAACCAGCTGAAATGATTTCAACGTGACACTTTGAAACGACTGTAGTAATGGGGTTAGTCCTGGTCATTTTTAATGCAGCTGGGGTTTGGTGCAGTGTGGGAGAAAAAACTAGAGAGATGATTTTGTCTTTTCTGTCTTTCCACAGAGCAAACTAGATGCATTGTGGGTACTTTTGAGGAAAGGCTATGACCGTGTGTCAGTAATGAGGCCTCATCCAGGTGACAAGGTAAGAAAAACACTTCACAGATGATTTATCAACCTGTATTTTATCTAAAATGACATAAGGCCTTGGTTGCGCATTAGCATTTGTCAGATTGGAGATTTGTTTGCATCTGACAATGCTGAGTAAATAGACCAGCTGTTGTGCACAGAGAGGCTCATGGGAAAACCTGCAGTGAGTTGGGATTGAATCTGACTGGCTACAAGATGCCTGGTGAAGTCATCATGAAAAGGAAAATGTATTTTATTCAAAGTCCAGATTGTGAGGTGGAGGGAAGTGGTATGTGATACAAAATGTAACAAGCTGGCTGAAGGAATCTGAATCTGGTGATGGACAATTTTGGAGCTTTAAATACACAAACAATGCAAACACAGCATAACTGGCATCACATTCGTCTGTAGTTCCAGAGTTCAGCCAGAGTTCAATTAAACATTATCCAACTATCAGAGAGCTGGAGAAGTTCTCCCGCTACGTTATTTAAGTCTTTATTAATATCTATCACCAACAAATGCTCAATGACGTAAAATCCTGAATGTGTGTGTGAATGGTTGAAAGTGACTTGTACTCTAAAGTGTTTGGGTGATCGAAAAGACAGGAGAAATTCTGTAAATAGTCCATTTAACATGTTCCATACCCATAGTATTTCGCCCACAATATCTGATAATTATCAAACACCTGCTCCTTATAATCTTCCAGCTTCAGTTGATATAACAGCAACAGAGAACATCTTTAGTGATGTGGGTCCACTGCAGTCTGGATAACGCTGCAACAAAGTGCACAACTATTACAATCACTCTCATTCATAAAATTAAAACTATTTGTAATATGCTTATTCTGGCCATAATGTTTCAAATTGCCAAAAATAGTGTGATATTAMTWTYGAMATATATATATATATATATATAGTACTATTGATTCATGTGTTACAGGACAAAACCTTGTATCACTGGGGCCAGACTTTGAACAGTCTGTTTTAACAAACATCAAGGCTGTGGCTCAGGAGGAAGAGAGGGTCAGCCATTAACAACAGGGATGGTAGTTAGATCCCTGGCTCCTCCAGTCTACATTTTGTTTCTTTACCCTCAAATTTCCCCTGATTGGTGTGTGATGAGAAAAAAAAGGCACTGTGTGTAGAAGTGCTGTATGAATGGATGAATGCTTTTTGGAGCGGTCAACAAGACTATCATAGTTCTCCATAAAACATAGACCACTTACACATATGTGAGATCACCTGGTGCATAACAAGGGGTAACTCCTCATTAAATGAAAGAAAATATACTAGTTCCTTTATGCTGCAAATAAATCTTTAGTTTTGCAAAATAGAAGAAAACATTGTTTTAATCCCATTTAGTCATGTGTTAAAAGATCAATTGAATGCCTATCTACAGCCTTTTAACACTTGAGACCTATGAACGCCTCCAGAAAACCCATCACAGCTTGCAACAACAGAGTGGAGTTTACCACAGAAACAACCAGGCCCAGTGTCTCAACAATGAGACGTTAATACAACACACTGAGACTCTCTACTGATCCACTGCAGAACTAGAGACAGAGAACAAAGCTCTCCACAGAGACTGTGAGGTCCTTCAAACACAGTTCAGTGACTGTAAAAATAATGCTGACCTTTTCCACTGTGAGCAAAGTCTGAGACCTGGGAGTGAGCGGGATAACAAGTAAATGTCAAAACACCAATGTGAGAATTGTGGAGCCTGATTTTGACAACAACAGATTGAAAGAGGGGTTTCCAAAAGACAAGAGATCAGGGATGAGAAGGAAAGAGGAAGTTCACGTGAGACTTGCACATGGATTCAAAACTTGAATTGCTATGACTTAAAGGTCCAGTGTGTAAGATTTAGGTTCCTTTCATCTAAATTGTATGAATTGTAGTTTTCTTTACCCCAGAAAAGGTCCTTTATATTTAAATACTTTATATTTACATTGAGGGGACCCTCTCTACGGAGGCTGCCATGTTTTTTTCACTAGTCCAGACTGGACAATTTAAACACCTTTTGAGTTTTTATGACAATTAAAGGCTTCGACAGGTTCTTTTTCATGTTTGGAAGGAGAGGGTGAGGTGAGGGGTGTTCAGCTGCAACATGCAATTTCAACACTAGATATCACAGAATTCTACACACGGTACCTTTAAGCGTTTATATATTTTCAAATTGATATAATGGCCAGTTTATCTTGCTTCTGGGATGTACCGACAATAGAACAATATGCATGAGAAGCTGCACCTAAAATGAAGCAATATTTAAGGTGGACTGGTCCGTATTACTTCAATCACAGTCAAATAATATCACCAGTACTGGAGTTAAACTCACAGGGTCACGTTTTTGGCTTTATACCCTTTAGTACAGTAAGTGCAGCTGATGCACTGCTCTGTAATTAGATGTGTAGGAGTGAATCCTTCTCACTATAAAGCTCGACATTAGTGCACTTGGGGGGGGGGGGGGGGGGGGTTTGGGTCAAGTATCCTTGATGATTCGCAGTAAACAAGCGTGTTCTGGTTGCAATTAGGAGTCTCTTGTCAAGGCCTTGCATTTATAACTTCCTCTAAATGAATGCAGTGGTGGGAGGGGAGAGACCAGTTGATCCCACTGACTGGTGCCGGAGAGAAACTTAAGTCAGGTTCCTGTGACATATTCAAACGCTGTTTTCACACATACTCTCTTAGGAGACATTGATTTTAAGTACACCTTTGATGCACTTCACTGTCACTCATACTTGTCGGCATGCATCATTTTCCCTGCAGGTCATTTCGCCCTAGTGGTAATGCGAGCAGAGTTTTCACTCCTTATCAGTTCACTGCCACTCCCTGATCCCCTCGTTGCAGCTGTCCAGGGGTGTAGCTTGTTTCTGGAATATGATCGTCTCTCTTGCATGACCGCACTTTAGTTTGGATCACAGCGTGATGGCAGGTTAACTTGTTCAGTTGAGTAGAGCATTTACAGTACATGGTCCATAAATCCCCCATAATTGCCCATAAAGCTGTGATTGGGAGTTATAGCATGTGCAGGTTGAGGTCTGTTGACAGTAAAGTGCTGTTGTTTAGATCTGTGCTGACAATGGATGAGGCTTCAGTAAGTGAGAGGCACACAAACGTCTGCTCCAGTCATCAGTCTGTCTGATTTCTAACAGAAAGCAGTGAGGGACGTTTTTATATCTAAGACTAATTCAGCTGTCAGAGCAAGAAAAGTATGTTTTGTCTAAATATGATTTAGACAAGCAGTACATATACACTCCTAAATTTCTTTACATCATGAGTAACAATCTATCCATCCATTATCTATACTGTTATCCTGTAAGGGTTATGTAGGGCTGGACCTAATCGTAGCAGACATTGGGCAAGAGGCATATACACCCTGGCCAGGTCGCCAGTTTAACGCAGAGCCAACATACAAAGACAAAAACCCATTCACATTCACACATAGGGTCAATTTAGAGTCTTCACTTAAAATAATCCCAACCTACCTGATTTTGGATTGTGGGAAGAAGCCGGAGTACCTGGAAAAAAAACACAGACACGAGAACATGCAAACTCCAGACAGAAAGACCTGGCCATCCAGAAACAATCACAACAGTTAAAAGTATTTATCTACTACATGAAGTTATTAAAATGGAAACTTGGATTCTTGAATCCTTCACAACATTTCATAAATATACCTGTAAACTTTTCATATCAGCTTTAGTCTGGATTTCACAAAAACCACTGGTTCTCCATCACTCTGAAATACATGGAGCCTCAAAACTGATCAAACTAAACAGGGAATAATTCATAGATTCTGATGAAAGAAAAATCAGGTATGTTTAGGGAACTGATGAGTGTGTGCAACTAGTTCAGATCCCACAAAAACAGATCTTGTGAAATGAATTGTGGGTGATGAGGGGACTGTTGGTGAACGTATGTGCTCTCTGAGTCACATACGTTCAGTCGAGGCGGATGGCCGCCCACATTGAGTCTGGTTCTGCTGGAAGTTTCTTCCAGTTAATGAGGGAGTTTTTTCTCTCCACAGTTGCCAAACTGCTGCTCACTGTGGGAACTGTTGGGTCCGTCTATCATTTTTAAGGTCTATGAAAAGTGCCTTGAGAAAATGTATATTATGATTTGTAAATATACAAATAAAATTGAATTTAAAATTGAATTAAAATGAGTGCCCTTCTAGTTCACTATGCAGTGCTCCTAAGAAATCCCCACAATGGAACAAAAGTACTTTCTGTCTACGATACGCAAACACGAAAACTCTCTGTTGTGAAGAACTACAGTGCCAGTATGCATAGTGACGCTGGTTCCCCAGTGTCTTAAATCAAGATTTCGTGCTCATTATACAGTTGCGAGAGTTAATGTTAAGGAGGAGTGGATGATGGGGTTCAAATCTTTCCAGTTAAACCAGATGCTCCACACACGCGACCAACATGTTTGTCTCAGAGCAATGTTTGTAATTTATAGTCACTGAATGTTCCTCTGAAATCTGGTGTGTTTTTAAATTTCAGGGCAAATGCATGAACTTCACCCGCATGAAGTCTCCCCCTTCCCACTACCCTCACTACAACCACTCATCCCCCATCTACAACCCCCCGAGCAAGAGTCCAACACCGCCGCAGGGCACCCTCCCACCGACCCCCAGCAGCCCTCCATCATCTCTGTCTTTCTCCTCCTGCACCCTTCCATCATTACCTCCAACACCTCCTCCCACCTCCCCTTCCCCCTCTCCTCCGCCCTACACCCCACCTCCCAACCGGGCTCTTCCTCCGACCAACATGCCCACACCAGCGTTGTCAGCGGCCTCAACGACCCCTTCACCTCCTGCCTCCCCAACGGGCTCCTTGCCTCCTCCTCCACAGGGACCTCCTCCTGGTCGAGCCCCTCCCCCTGCACGCCCACCGCCTCGCCCTGGGCTGTAAAGCTCCAGCATGAGATGGGAGAGAACCCCACAAATTTGAAAAAGGCAACACAAAGTCCCACCAGTGATCAGCACATGACCATCGTTGACCACCTGGAGGCCAGGACATGTGGACACTTGTGCCACTCTCAGCGGGCTGTGGCCTTTCTGCCTTGTGAAGAGGAGCAGCGAGGACTATTTTTCAGCTATTTGTCTACAGTGAATGTTGTACACTTCTAGCACAACAGTGAAATTGCTCTGATGCTTGAATTACACAGACGTTCCCAATGAATGAGGTCATGCGGGCCGGCTCAAAAACATTTGCCTCCGTGGACCTGTGGGCTGCTTCAGGCCCTGATGCCTTCTCCATGAGCTCACAAGATTGGATGAATCCAAATCAGCTGCTCAACAAGGAGCAGAGTTGTTTTCAAAACGATCATGACACCAAAATATGTGTAACGTTTCCATCTTTTCTAAAAAGAGATAAGAGGAATCTGAAAAAATCCCTGTTTTTCTGTTCTTGAATGTTGAGCAACTGCATGCCATCGTGTTTGAGTCAGTGTGTGTTCTTTTGATAACATTTCTACCTAGTTTTATGCATCATACACACATCTTTAGTTTTACTATTTTTGTACTCCTTGCACTTTTGACTTGCATAATAAACCAGCCTAATGTGCACATAGGAGTGAACTATAAACTGGGATTCAGATACTTAACTATACACCTATACAGGTGCATCTCAAAGAATAAGAATATTGTGAAAAAGTTTGTTTTTTTAAACTTTATTTATATCTTAGACTCATTATACATCAAGTTCTTAGTTTTTTTATTTATTTTGAGTTTGATCAATATAGCCTAAAGGGAAAAACATATATTTAAAAATATCACAATAATTCATATTGAGTTTGAGTAAATTACCATAAATACTGTGTATCTCTTGGTCAATGGTCTAATGTCCTGTTTTCAGATCCCTCGCCACATTGATGCAATAACTCCTGCTAAAGGAGGCCTGGCCAAGTATTGTCTAAATTTTAAATTCTTTATTGATTGATCTTAGGAAATACTCAAATACTTTGAGCTGTAAGACGTAATCAACCAAATTAAAACAGGCTGGAAATATTTCCAATATTTCACTTTACATGTAATGAATCCAGAATATATTTAAGTTTAATTTAATTAATAGTTTGAGATGCACCTGTATAACTGATATGACCACAGTCACAGCTATAGTTAGCAGCGTACACTCTGTCTATCAAGATGTGGACAAAACCGTGTCAGAATCAGGGAGAAACTTTGCACATTGTTTTGCTCATCCAGCCACAGCCTCTTACGAAAGCTGTTTTTTATGTAAATAATCATTTTGCTACAATAACCATGTGTCTTCAGATCTGTGTGTGTGTGTGTGTGTGTGTGTGTGTGTGTCAGAAAGAGAGAGAGAGACTAATGTACTGTATGTATTCATGACTAGAGAGTCAGTCGCCAGTTTCATCAACTTAAATAAAATGTTGAGGGTTTTTTTTTGCACAACATCCTCGCAGCATGGATCACAATAAAAGCGTTTTGTTCCATGGGTCACATGAAGTTCAGATTAATATGAAGCTGCTCTGTGATAATCAGAAGACTCGCTGCAGAATGCAAAGCAATCACAATCAGAAAGACAGTATATGCAACTCTCCGTGGATACAGAATGTAGACATCTATATCTGTAAACATCTTAGGTGAATAAAAGTGGACTCTGTTCTTCTGTATTTTCTTCAAAAACAACTTGTAAACCAAAGATTTAGCTCCTGACAAGGTTAAAACAACCTCTGGGCTGAAGTTTGTTCTCTAAGCTTTCATCGGAAACCTGTTAAGACTTTATAGGTTTACTCTCGTCTTTCCTTCAGTCCTTTTTATGCACACTATGCCTCCTTTTGTCTACAGAATGTCTTACATATACATATTCTACGGTATGTTAATATATCAAGATGTTCTGTAACTTTCAAATTAAATCAATGTTTTATTCCATTCTCAGTGGAACACTAAATCAGAGCACTGGTTTTGCTGCTGGGGTCACTGGGTTCACACAGCAGAGGGCAGCTGAATACAGAAAGCTCACGGCTCTTCACTCCCTCCCTTTGATGGAGGGAGAGAAAAAAAAAAGAGACAAGAAAATGCGAAAGCCCGGCTAACTGATTCCAGATGTTCATACTGTATGTTGCATTATGTCACATCCACGAACGGGGTGAGATACATCTTGGAAAATATTAGACACCATCTAATCCTCAGGAAATCTGGACAGGCTACAGAGACTTCGCGCTGCTGCTTATCGTTGGCGGCACAATTTGGGGACAAATTGAGCTCATATCTGTAGTAATATGGGACTCAGAAAACAAACATCTAATAAATATATCCACTAAATATCCTACACCTTAAGTATTTAATACTCTGTTCAACGATAATGTTGTTTGCTAGTAAGACTGCTCAAAAACAACTGAGAGATTTCCATGAAACTTGGTGGAAGGATGCAGTATGAGTCAGAAAGAACAGATTAAATGTTGGGGTGGAACTCGGTCAAGGGGCGAATCAAGGATTGCTTTTCACTTTCACTGCAAAAATAGGACATTTATCAACATTTAGCTGATTTCTCAGAGAATTCATGGATCGTGGGTTAGAATTACAAAAAAGAAAAAAAACAGGCATGGTTAGGAGACTGATATTTATTGTTGTTTGCAATTTGGTGCCAAGCCAAATAACAATCTGGATTGAGTGACTTGAAGTGTGGTTTCATTTGGGGACTGTTGGGCCTTGGCGTTGTATTAACTCTACTAAGTGCCATTCTAATTTTGTTTTTATTTGGTCTTAACAAAATCACATGTATCATTAACTGGGCTCTGTTCCATTCAGGTGCTCCAGGGCGGACTCTGGGTTTTGTCTGTGGCAGTTCACGGACATGGCTTCATTAAATAAAACAATTGTTCCTTCAATTGTTTGCACCGGTTCTTTTCCATGTGTGCACAGTGAATCTGCATGATAAGAAATACCACAACCTTGAGAAAACTTAATCACTTCAATACAGGTCGTGCTTTAGATGCAAAAAAAGAAAATAAGCCATGGCACTCTTTCTATGGAAAAATACAAAAACAGGCTAATGTGTGGCAAAGACAAAAAAATGCATCTACCAATGCAGCACACTGTTGTTCAACAGGCTGATGTGTGAGCATCAATTAAGGTCACCTGCTCATGGTTATTCACTCACACTCAGGACACCTTGATTGAAGCTGCCGTGCTGCTTTGGTTTCAGTGAACGACCTGCTGCTGCTGCACAGAGGGATTTTATCTGAAATTCATTTTATAGATGAAAAATTACCCACAATGCTCCCCACAGTTGGAGAATGGAGACTGAGATTGCTGGGAGCCGTGGCCGTTGTTTGCAATTACTCCGCAGCTGCTTGTGAAGCCATTGTTGTGGTGACTCTGTGCAATGAAATCCTTCTGAAAACTGCGCTCGCCTTCACCAGCGGAATTCATTTTTACCTGTCAGCCATGCTGAGGATGAATGCGTTTCTCCGGCTGACACTGGCAGGTGAGCTCTTCTCACGAGACCGACTTGGAGTCTTCAGCTGCTCCACCTGGCCTTCATCACAGACCTTGAGAAACAACAGCTGCTCTCTTCCATGTGGAGGAAGAGGAGGGAGATCTGTCAAATGGTTCAAGTGGGTCCAGTCTGTGCTGCGTGTCGTGTCTGAACTCTGCCAATGTTCTCTGTATGTTGTTGTGACCGTCCTGGCCCTCGTCCATGCTGCACCAGTGGTTCTGTTGGCTCTGTGCAGGAACTTCAGACTCACTGTCTCCACCGTTTTAACTTTATTTGGATGCATCCGACCCATGCTGCTCACAGCACACACTCTGACTGGATACTCCACACAGGCACTCAGCATTGTTTGGGGCCTGTCATCTCTTTTTATATAAACAGGAAATTAACTGAAAATGTTATTTCAATTGTCAGATATCCTTCCAGTTTTTATTCTAATGAAATAAATGTGATGTTTTTGCTGACCTGTTTAGTGAAGCACAATATACTGTCGTCATAGTGAATACTGTTTACTTAACTGATGTTATTCTCTCATCAGTGGATGTCAGCTGTTGAAGCAGCAGTTAATTTCAATGAAGGTTTTTAAAAAATCATTTGCACAACAATTAATATTCTAAAGCCTTGCATATTTTAAAAGAGTTGAGAGAGTGAACGTTGCTGATTTTCTCATTTTTTATTGAATTGATATGAAAGTCTTTCATCTGGACTTTATAACTTTTCCGTGAGACTGTTTGCCTGAATACTGAATCCCAATTATTACCTGCACCAACAAAGTTCTGTTTTCACCCCTGACTGTTGGTTGGGTGGTTAGGTCGGATTACCACAAAACTCGGTGGGAGGATGTAGCATAGGACAGGGAAGACTCCTTCACATTTGGTCCACATCCAAGAATTTATTCATTACTTTCTTTAACATTTCCAAGAAAATAATTCATGGATTTAGATTCTTTAAAAAAAGCTTGATTGAATTTAAAGGGACGGGTGCTCTCTACTGGGGGCCATTAGCTGTTTTCATATGGATCATATGGAGAGGTACATATCAGTCAGGTTTTTGTGTTGGAGCTGCTCAGTGATCAAGGTCCACGCTAACCAGGGAATTACACCTTCTGTGTACATGGTCGTCTCACTTGCCGACCTTCATGGCACCTGCAAGCTGCAGTCACAAGATTGATTCAAGCTTCCAAAGATTTGAATATGATCAAAAACGCCAATTGAATATTGAAGAAGTCCCTAAATTAAGAATGCATCTCAAAAAAAGATCAGATATAACTACTCTCTCATGCAAGGGAAAAACTATTAAAACACTCAAATACATAACTATGTTCTGCTGCTTCTTCCACTATATCTTTGGTTTGTTTTGTCTTTTTCTGTGCGTGCTCAGAGTCTCTATTCGATTAGAGAAATACAAATTTCAAGCTTTTTTTTTCACTAGAGATTCCCACGAAAGCAGGTTCCACCTCTTTCCACTCTGTAGAAATGTTCTTTGTCCTGTTGTGTTGAAACGTCAGCACCGTTTTAACGTTTCTCACTTCTGTCTTCTGTTAGTTTCCACCGTTATTCCAACAGTCTCATCACGGATCATGTGTACGTCCTCTTCCTTCAGATATCAGTGCTCAGCTGTGACCTCCGACACTTTAAACTCCGGGGTTGGAGACAAAACAGGGTGGATTTAATGTGACCCTGTGGTCGTGTTTTCTTGTGAGGGTCAAAGGTCGTCGTCAGGTCACAGGTTCGTGTCAGTGAACATGGTGTGCTCCTTCCTCACGGTGCTGAAACCTTTGACGGTGTCGACAAACTCCTCATCTTCCATAAACTATCAGAGAGGAGAGTAGAGGTTGTATTCTATTTAGAATGTATTTGCTTGTTTCAGGGGCTTGCTCCACTTTCTCTATATGATGTATCCTAGCAACATACAGTTTATCAATTATTATTGTATATTCAGGGTCTCTCACCATCCCACTGTCATGTCCTGAAATGTTTGGGTCCCACGTTCCATCGTCTGTGAGCGACTTGCCGTCAATCACCTGGCTGACGCTGCGCCTCAGAGAGTTCACGCTGAGGATCCCGAGCTCGCCCTGAGGAGGGGCGTCGTCAGAGGGCTCACACTTAGCCTCCAACACTTCCTAGAGAGACAAAATAAACACATGACGTATTATGCACAAGCACAGAAAAGCAGTTCTTTGAGTGCGTGTGTGAGTCTGCAGAGTTTTACCTCCATCTTCATGGTGAAGCCCTTGAGTGTGACACTGTTGGAGAAGCCTGTTGTGTCAGGCACGGTGTCAAACTGAGGCAGAGAGGGTGAGTTTAAAAGAAATGCACCGAAACGAATAACTTACACTGTAAATGAAGTACATGGTATGAAGTGAAGTACATGGTATGAAGTGAAGTACATGGTATATTCATACACAATTTGTATCCTTCCATTGAATCCTTCTTTACATGACACAATACCTATTCAAAAGAAAGGCTACTTCTTGTGTTTTCTCGTTTTCATCATTTCTTCTTCCACAAATGAAGCACAAATATAACTTCCGAGTTATCCATAAAATGCCTTATACAATGTTTTATATATGTATATATCGATAAAACCAGTCAAATGCCAAATTCTATCACACATATCATGTTTTTTAATTGAATTGATTTGTAAATAAGGAACTCACCAAGACAGAGTTGCTAGATGGGTAAACAGCCATGGGGCTCCTCTTCCGCATGGGCAGGGCCACCAGAGGGGGTCTCTCTCGTGTGAAGGGGGGTTTGTTTAGGGCCTGAGCGGAGGAAACAAAAACCTGATTATAGTTTTTTATAAGTGTTATAGGTTTAAACCTTATATGAGCTGCATTTAAGCTGAAAGTATTTTTAAGTCTTACTGTTTTCTTTGCACCCACCTTGAAAACGAAATCTCACTTCAATATAACACTGTATAAGCAGATTTATTCAAATGTTACCCAGCTCTCCATTCTTACCTTTTGCTTTTCTTACTCAGAGGATTTGTTTTTATCGTTCACTTACAATGACCTGTGACGTCTGAAGCTCTCCCTTCTGTCGCCCTCATTATTTACTGTGACAAAGACTAACCGGGGGTCCTCACCTTATGAAGGACAACACCCAACACGACGGCCAGCAGCAGGAGGGCGATGGCTGCCATCACTACGATGAACCACAGCTCCTGGACGACCGGCCGGTTGCCAGGACCTCCCTCTGCCCGCTCGCCGCTACCACCACCCACTCCTCCATCTCCTCCTACCCCATGAGGAGTGGGGCTCTGTGAATCTGGAGGTTTGACAGAAATTATTATTTAAAATCTCTTTCAAATCAGCCAGTTAAGACATGGTTATTTAAAAATGCCACGTGCAACATCCTTTTTATTTGGATTTTAATCTCATATCACTGGAAAAAAATATCTATTGTGAATACAACTGACTGAAAAAAAAAATCAAACCACCACATCCTGGTAGTTTTGCATATGTAGCCACACACAGTCGGATGAGAGACAACCTCAGTGCAGGTCGTTTTTAAGTAAACTACAGGCACAATTTGAGTTCCACATCTAAATCAGCAGTTAAATTCTCATCTTCAGGGATACATCTAACAGACAGACATCACAAGTCATGTCAAGAAAGAAAGACAGTCAACCACACACACACACACACACACAC